GTGCGCGCCCGGGATCCGAACCGGCGAACCCCGGGCCGCTGCAGCTGAGCACACGCACCTAACCGCCTGCGCCACTGGGCCGGCCTGGCAACTCAACTTTGAAACACAAATTTCCCTCTGCTCCTCTTTCAGGCTTCTGGAACACTTTAATTAAAGTATAGTCTCAGGTACTAAGTGGAATTGTTTAAAATGATCATTTACCACTACTGACTTGTGTAAATCAAGTTTCTCTCAGTAACATGTAACTCAAACGCTATTGAAATAAACTAGATTTGAATTAGACTGATTTATTTTGTATTTTTCAATCTCATAAGTCCCATTGTTTTAAAAGCTCATGTTTTGAGTCCTTACAACTATAATATATTTCACCTCCCATGATCTATTTAATCTTTTCCAAAATAGCTCTATTTGCATTATTCAAGTGATACAAATAATTAACTTAGATTCTCTCAGCTCAATATAACTCACTGTGGCATAACCGAGCACAAAGCAAATGCAATATTAGATCATATTAACAGATAAATAAAAATGTCAATGACAACAATACTAACTAAAATGCACTGAGGGTTTGTATGGACCTGGCAGTGGGCTACTAAGAGCTCACCTGGATTATTTTACTGAATCCAGACAACAGTCTTATTAGCTCATTTTAAAGATGGGGAAAATGAGGCTTAATTTAAGGAAGGTCAAGTCCAAGGTTACTAACAATTACTGGCAGAACCAGATGCAAACCCAAGTCTATCTAACTCCAGGACCTAACTGCTGACCCGTTATGTGGGATCCATCTCTTGATGGCGAGAATAAATAAATACTATGTTTCCCTGGAGTATCCTGATCACATAACAACTGGGATTATGGATTCAGTTGGATTCTGAATTCAGTTCTGAATGCCTCATCCTCAAACAATCAGGGACAAAAGTGAATGCCCTAAGATGAATGTAGATCAAGATAGTTGTGTCAATAAACAATTAGTCTAAGATATTTAGCCTAGAAAACTAAGAAACATCATAGGGTCTTCGAAAACTTTTAAGAGCTGCTTGAGATAAAGGGATTAGATTAATTATAGCTTCAGAGAATAAAATTAGGATCATCTAGACTACTAAAAGAAGGAAACAGATTCCAGCTCACTATAAGAAAGAGAAAACTAACAGAACCAACCAAAAATGTAATGGGTGCAAAGAAGCAGCTCCCTCTCCATCAGTAATGGTAAACAACAGTTTCCATACCAAGACAAAGGCAGGGCCCTAAGACCTTTCCAACGCTTGTGAACACAGACGCATTATTCCTAATAGCCAAATAATAACACATTCTGGACATGCATAAGGAAGCATGACTCACTCACACAGAATGTCTGCACTGGCAGTCACAGGATCTGAGCCTAGTCCTGATTTTGTTGGTAACCAGCTCAGGGACTTTTTTACAGTTACTTCAGCTTTCTGGGCCTCGGTTTCCTCATTGATAAAATGAAAAGTTTGAGCTAAAAGATCTTTGAGAGTCTTCTGATTTCAAAGCTTTAACAATTTAGATATTTAAGAGATTTATAACAATTAAATGGTCAGACTCTTTAAAGTGTAATCTGTAAACATATTTTCTGGATGGTTCACCTACCCATTTCATTCATTCACTCATTCAGTCATTCAACAAATACTTGTGCATTTTTTATGTATTGGGCTCTGTGCGAGGCACCGGAGATACAACAGCAAGCAAATAAGATAAGGTCTCAGTTCTTGTGCAGTTTAGAGTCTAATGGGGAAGACAGACCTTCATCCAATAACTACTGAAGGAACGAGGGGGAGAAACGAGGCTGGGAAGCAGAAAGGCACCATGCTTGCAGAGCCTTGCAGGCCTTGTTAAGAATTTTAGTCTTTATCCTGAGAGCAACAGGAAGCCACAAGACCTTAAGCAGGGGGGAATAAAATCAGATTTATGTTTTGAGCAGCTCACTCGAGCTGCAGTGTGGAGAAGGACTGGAAAGAGGCCAAAATGGAACAAACAGAACTGGTGATACATAATTCTGGGGGCTTCGACTAGGGTGGTGTTAATGAACAGGAAGAGAAGGACACAATACATGAGAGAGAAAATGAAGTAAAATTGATAAGACTTGGTGACAGGTTGGATATAGGACTCAAGCAGAATGAGGTATCAAAGATGATTTCTGTGTTTCTAGCTTGTGGAACGAGAAGATGGTATTACCATTCAACCATTCAATGAGATTCAGGGAATACCAACAAAAGAGTTTGGGGGTTGTCGGAGTGGGGCCACAAGTTTGGTCTTCCACATTGTTGAGAGCATTTGGGATTCTGAAGTAGAGATGATGTGAGGGCAGTAAGCTCAGAGAGGAGATCTGGGCTGTGAATAATATTTGACATAACTGAAGCCATCGATGTAGATGTGAATACTACATAATTATAAGTTACAGTTTACCTAAAAAGGATTAATCCAACTTAAAAGAAAACTTGAATTTTAACCATCTTTATAAATTAAAAGAGTAAAATTATTAATAAGGACATCGTAGTTATATAGGAAAGTGTCCAAACATTCAGAGATGCATATTGAAATATGTATGACATGACACCTGGAATTTGTTTTAAAAATACTTAAGACCCACAACAAAAGAAAAAGAAGATAAGGGGATGGTGGAAGTCTGGGAAAATCTTGATAATTATTTAACCTGTGCAGTGGGAATACGGAGGGTCTACTTTTGTGTATGATGTTGGAAGCTGATAATTAAAAAAAAAATTTTTTTTTTGTTACATAA